GAAGCTGGTAGCACAGGCTCAGGCAGCTTGGCTCTTAAACAGAGCCGAAGTCTGAGTCGGGGAGGAGCAGAGCAGCCGCGGGAGAGGAAGTGCCCGTCCGTATTTTTCCCGGACATGTTCGGCTTTTTGACAATTCCCCCCGGACGGGGGTTTGATTGCCAAAAAGCCGGACATGTCCGGGAAAAACCGGACATGTGGTAACCCTACAATACAGGGAATACATTTTGCAGCTTTCACCATACCTGGCCTTTGACCAGTGACTTCATTCTCCTGAAGCAATTAATGTAAGGCTTGTGATAAAATGTTTGGTCAAGAAACTTGCAAGAGAAGCCTTTTGCATTTGCCTGTCATCCAGCTAGGTTGAAGGGTGATAGAAAAACATGTAATGCTGGCAGCTATATTTCATCTTGAGTGCACTGTTGAGCAGTCTAGGATAAGCACATGTTCTCCAGCTCTTTCCATCATTGCTGATAGTAGGACAGAAATGTATTGGGGATGATGTGACAGGTGAAATACTCAACAGGTAAACAATAAGGGCAGTAGATACGTCCCTTGTCTTAAATACTGAGCTCCAAGCCTACCTTTGATTTGTAAAGTGCAATTAAATGTAGCAAAATGAGAGGGATGGATCCTCAGGATGCTGAATATCTATCCTCTTCTGTGCTGTCCTCTGGGAAGCAAAGGAGAGGTGGAAAAACTGCCATAAAATAAACCATAGGATTGTGCTGGGGTTACAGGTGGTCCTGTATGTTGGTGAAATTAAGCAAGCTCTGTTCATTCACAGGCTGTGGTTCTAACAATATACACCTGCTATACTTATTACAGAGATTCTGGGAGATGGCAAAAGAGCTTAGCTACAAGAGCCATTACAAGAATGGCATACAATAAGAATAGATCTTTGAAGTTCTTTTAATAGAAGATGCAATTAAGCACCATCTCCTTGCAGTCATTCTTTTATTGCTGCCTGTTCCTCTTGATAACATTTTCCCAGTTAAATCAAATGCTTTGCAAAAAATACAGTAAATTATGTTGTAACTGTGCTGCTCTCTTGTTTCCTGGCATCTATGAATTGGAGACAGTGTCTGTTCGCCTTCTTATAATGAGCACAAGGGACGGCAGGCTTTCCAGAGTGTTTGCTCTTTTGGCTCAGACCAGTATTTCACTAAGTTGCATCATAGTGACTTCAGTTTCCAGACTGTGAAGTGCATTTAATCTCATCCTGGAGGGAGGGGAATTGGAAGGTACTGTACTATATGTAAAGATAAAGTAAAATCAAAAGCTGGTCCTACAGGGGTTGTATTGTGTTTCTGAATAATACTGTAGCGCACTCCTCTGCAAATGCAGGACTTTAACTCATTTGGTTTTACTCTCTTGTCTTTCCAGTACCCTCAGTGACTAGAACAGAGCTGTCTAGCGACAAAGCACCTTTTCTCATGCATATGAGTTTCACAAGTGCAACATGAGTAGGGAAAAGCTTAATTTCAAATGGTGACATTAAAACTACTTTTATCTTGGATAAGCTTACATAAGTGTGATGAGTAATATAGTGTTGCTCTGCTTTCTAATGTCCCTCTGTCAGCCTGATAACATTTGAGGCATTAAAATATTCCTATAGTGTATAGTTGCAAATAAATCACATAAGGAAGAAATTTTGGATACGCCAGCTAAGGTAATTGTCTAGGGGTATGTTCACACTTAACACTACATATGCCAACGGGAAGGCTTCTCCCGTTGCTATAGGTAATCT